GTGTGTGCGTGCGTGCGTGCGTGCGTGCGTGCGTGCGTGTGTGTGTGCGCGCGTGTAGGCCCGAGACTAACACTTGTGTGTAGGCTTATAACTTGAAAAGTCGCACCTGACACCCAAAGCTATCTCCAATAAATGAGTGTTTTTCAAAGCAACGTGGCGAATTCATGAGTGCAGGTGCAGCAGTGCAGAAAATTACAGACAGTCTAAAGGTAATGAGATGTGGTCACTCGCCAAATCTGACAGAAGTAAGCTTGTTGAAATGGAGTGCAACAGCATATTCAGGACACGACATGGGGTCAAAGCTAAAATATCTAGTTGTGGAGGAGTAAGGTTACATTATATAAATGCAAAGCCGACATTAGTAACGTCAGAAAAGGTGCCATTAAAGTCACCTTACAGGGGAACTAAATTACAAAGATGTTCCTTGATGTTCCTCCACTAATCCAAATCCAGTATTTTGATTCATGGAAAGAGAATTAAACAGATGAATTCATCAATTGTCATCCATATCAGGGGGGTGCCTATACTGTCCTCTGCTGTTGACTGAAATCATACCTGTCAACTCATACGGTTTAGCCATATTTTATACGTATTTTGTGGTGAATCTTACGTATATGGCCATATCGCACAAATCAAACAGATTCTGAAAATTTCCGGTTCTTTTGTTTTTTTTTTTCCCCTAACAGGTAGTTCCGTTTGCTTTTGCCCAGAATGGTGCTCGTCTACTCGAATGCTTTCATTTCCCGTAACGTTCCAGTAAATCACGCGGTTCATAGTTGAAAACAGCAGAGTATTCATTCCATACTTCGGTAGTGTACAAGCAAGTTCTAATCTACAAGGAAACTGTCACGTTGCGTACAAGGCAGGGAAAAGAACTGCTTCGTACGCAACAGTGCGAACGAGAATAAGTGGATCCCGAAGTAGCAGACACTGACAAGGCTATTGTCTCAAAATAATATTTGTTACAAACGAAAAAACTCCGTCTAATGGAAAACAGAAAACGCTGGTCAAAACGAGAACCAGGATATAATGAAACGCGAAAAACAAAACGCTTGCGAAAAAACGGCAAGGAAAAGATAAGACAATTTACTAGGTTAAGTATATTTTCAGAATAATCCCCAATGGGATGACGAACGTGTAGCAAACAACAATCGAATATGGTTTACGAGCATGGGCAATAACAGTGGCACGGCAAGCAATACTCCGGCAATGAGACGAAAGCTGGAGTGCTTAGATATAGCAGGTGTAATGATTGACAAATAGGCAGCAGGTGTGCAGGCAGCAGAATGAACGCCTGCCACCTGCTGCCAAATACGGAACATGACAGAAACACATTTATCAATGATGATTAGACATTCACCTGCCATTGTATTATGGAGATCTACAATAAATATCATTAAAAATTTCGTGGGTTTTTTTCTGCCGTTATTTTGACATATAAAATGCTTTGGTATGTTATAAGGATTTATATATATATTTATAAAGATTTTTTTGGTAGTTTATATGGGTTGGCGCTCCGAAAGGTTGACAGGTATGCTGAAATTGACGTCACAACTGCTCTCGGGCTCGCATTGTCACAACAGCAAACCGAGAAAAAGAGTGAGCTGTGATGGATGTGATGGTCAAGCATGACAAAGCAAAGGCTTCACTTCGATTAATAGGACAAATATAGACACAAGGCATTTGTCGGAGGCAGCAATATCAATAATATCTTAACCTCGCTCTAGCTCAGTACGATCATTAATTACAAATTCATACCTGAAGTCCTCAAATTGTTGTTTTGTAAAAAGTCAATACACTTGTTAGGCAACTCTTTTCTTGAGGATGTTGGAAAGAAAAATGGATTAGATACCATGGTATCTTAATTTTATTATATTAGAAAATTCATCAACTGCATGAAATTGAATTGAACAGAGGCATACAAGTGTGCAAAGTGAAAGGCGAACTCATTGTGGTCAACATGTACCAGAATCCAAAAGGTTCTAAAACTAATACGGGCAAGATTTTTCACACCTGACTGATGCTGAATCTCTCAATCTTACCCTCTTGGTAATGAAGCGAGATGGCGCTGGACTTCATGGTAATTCCTCTGATCTGTTCATCCTCTCTGCTGTCCAGATACCTTAGCTGGAAGATTAGCACCAGCCAGAACATGATGAGGAAACAGAAAGCAGATCAAGTTAAGGTATATGTTATAAAGAACATTGATTCCCAACTAAGGTGCCATGCCAGGTTAAGTGGAGTGTGGGAGATCAGGGCTGCTGAGGAAAATTTCTAATTTCTCTTAATTCGACGGAAAGTGCTGATCAATTACAAATACTGTATATATTTGTTCATCTTTCTATGGCAGCAATGTATACTGTAAGGCAGAACAATGAAATGCTCTGTCATTATACTAAGGAATTACACACACCAAAAGAAAACGACCTGAATCCACCTGTTGTCATTCCTGTCAGTATGTACGTACATCCTTTGTGATAAATTAAACAGGCCCAGATTTCAGATTGAGTAAGTCAATCGATCAATAAATTGAGCAGAGATCACTATTATTTATATATTTTCATTGGGAGTGTGCCCTGAGCGTTTTCTTAGGTAAAATGGCTGCTCCGGATAAACACATACAATTCATTACCAACATTCATCATCACATCCAATTCATTACCAAAATTCATCATCAGGCATCATCAGGCAACTGATTCGCTGTGACGACCCCTGAAGGGAAAAGCCGAAAGGAAAAGAAGAAGATCCTTCCGAGCAGTCCTTCTCAAATAGTGGGGCGGTCTTGACCCAAGGGAACATTTTTTTTTTTTTTGCCGTATGAGAAAAAATACGGCAAAAAACTGCCGTTATACATAAATGCAGTCCAGCTCAGCGATGCTGCTGGCGGTGACGCTGCAATTTATATATGAGTTTAAAAAGAATCTGATATTTTAAATAAAGTAAGCCTGGAACTGATACTTTCTGTTATTCTTGTGGAATATGGCTCTGAAGTGCAGTGCATTTATGGGTTACTTCCTTTTTGAGCCTTAATTTCTATGAAACCGATTAACAAAGAGAGAGTATATTTCAGAGACTGTTTAACCTACCACCAGAGATAGAAGCAAAAGTGAGAGAAGTCTATATTCTGCAAAAATAGGGGCTAAACAACTCTTCAAATTTTATTTTGACAAGCCAAATTTTGGGAGAAGTTTAAGTACCTACCATACAAAGTTATTAAGCGCCATGCCTGATATTCAAAATCTGGAGGCTAGTAGTAACAGGTAGTGACTATCGAATTTTGAAAACTACAGGTGAGATAGTTTTCCACATATTGATGTTTAAAAAAGTATTTTCAGAACATGATTACAAAAAATGTCTAACCTACCCTACTCTCAGTGATTTTTCATGAGAAAATAATTGAAAATAGAGACCTAATATTTTGGAGTTTTCCTCTTACAAGTGTGTCATTTTACTGGATTCTTAAAAGACATTCTGAGCTGATCAGGTGGGAGGCATTTGATGAAATTACACTAAATTACCCCACAGTCAAAACCTCACAAAGTTGGCAACGCCACAGACACAGGCCACAGCGCCTGCTTGCTTGCTACCTCAATTGTACCAGCGTACACACGTGCGCACGTAAAATTAAAGCAAATTTGTCAACATGCATCACATAATTGACATTTTACAGGTCAAAGACCGTGGGCGTGCCGGACTTTGCCAAAATCTGGTTTAGAGGGCGAAATCAAGAGGATTTTGACCTTTTAAATTAGACAGTGGCTCTTTCATTTTTTTGTTAACAGGGTGAGGGAGAACATTTTATATCTTATACCATAAGCAGACAAAAACGTACCTTCCCTGCCTGGCGACTTGATATGATACCATTGCTTGCCACTAAGCAATCCGCAAGAGTAGTTTTACCTGAACAAACAAATATAGATGTACTTTTTAATACCACAACAAGCTTAACAAAGGATCAGAATGTTAGTTTTTTTCTTTTCTTTATCAAACCACTATTTCAGATTATGCCACGAACTTGTTTGGGAAAACGTGGCGAGTTGACATTTTGACAACGTAGGACATACCACCATTGAGAATGTTATTTTAAATCGGAGGAAATTGATAATCTTACAGTGCTATTAAGTGAATATGTCTACTCTTGATTTTGGGTCAACATATTTTGAGAATAGCATTACATTCATTTGTATAGTGTCCATTGTCAAACTCCAATTAAAATGCATGGAAAGGCCAAGGAATAAACTGACCGTGGTCAACATGTGCCAAAATGCAAAGGTTTCTAATATTGGCTGGATTTTTCTGCAGTTCAATGATCCTATCCAGACTAGGATGTCCCATCGTGAACCCTAAAACATAAAAGATGTATACACAATATGAGACCGACAATGACACAGGAGACAGTAAGCCGAACACTGCACAGTGTTAGTACAATGGAAGCTGTCAATGTAGCACATAACACACCTGCGATACTCCTGTGAATTGGCAGGCGTTGTAAACTAAAAATCGCGAGCTGAGTAGATATATCAGAGAGAAACTAATTTAAAATTATAACACGACTTCAAATGATTCCTCACAACACTTCATGGCACGTAGCAACACATGGTAAATTTAATTAGCTGTAAAATAAGACGATACTGTATTCAAATTCACGTGCAGCGCCACATCCTATGCTGATATTCCGGGCGGAACAAGTCCTGAATGACGTTGGCTTCATCTTCTTCTTCTGTCGTATTTTCGGCAGCGTCAACGGTACATGGCGCATTACTGCTCTCCCGGTACTTTGCTTCAACAACGACTCTAAATCATGTAAAAATTGCAGCGCTGCCTTTGCCATCAGATGGTGGTTCTCTTTATCAACGTCAAATAAAGAAGAGAGAAACAAATTACTGTCAGTTTGTGTGTGTACGTTTCTCTATCGCTCGAGAGAGAGAGAGAGAGAGAGAGAGAGAGAGAGAGAGAGAGAGAGAGAGAGAGAGAGAGAGAGAGAGAGAGAGAGAGAGAGAGAGAGAGAGAGAGAGAGAGAGAGAGAGAGAGAGAGAGAGAGAGAGAGAGAGAGAGAGAGAGAGAGAGAGAGAGAGAGAGAGAGAGAGAGAGAGAGAGAGAGAGAGAGAGAGAGAGAGAGAGAGAGAGAGAGAGAGAGAGAGAGAGAGAGAGAGAGAGAGAGAGAGAGAGAGAGAGAGAGAGAGAGAGAGAGAGAGAGAGAGAGAGAGACGGGCTGCACACTTACATTGCAGTCCAATAAGTGGCGGTAATGTGGCTTTACCCTGGTTGCCAAGCGTCATTCACCTTAACGAAGAAAAAGACATAAAGCACGATGTTGTTTGCGGAAGCTATGGCGGAAGCTGACAAATTCAAGTCATGTGACGAAGTGGGCGACTAAACTGTTTGAAATGGACGCGTTAGCGAACACCCGCAACCAAACGGTAAATCAACATACGCACGGTCGATAACCTTGTATTGCTGCATGTCACATTTGTTAAAAAGTGAATGCCTTAACTAGGTAACGATGGTGTAATAATGCTGTAAGTTAGCCAAAAACATGACGTATATGAGTCAAACATTTTTCGTACCACTCATTCGTATACCACTCAATGTACCTTAAAAAAAATAACACCATGATTGTGACTGGTGGCTCTATTATTGCTGAGCGAGAACATAATTGCATCAAACGAGAACGTCATATTTACCACATTTGAATAAATGAAGTAAAATAAATAAATACACATTGCAGTTATGCCTTCTTGTACTCACTCTTGAATTGGTTGTATTTCAGTAATTATTGGTAGTGATGTTCAAACGTTTTCCTTTCGAGCCTCTTTGAAATTCTTCACCTTTATTAAACAATTACAACGAATCGATCGGAACTGTTAAAGAGCTGAGCAGTAGTGATGGGAAGATGACGACTTGTGAAGCGTTGCGGCACATTGGGCAAACTACATTGTTGGCTCTGCATTACTCCTGTGTTACGCAGTTGCTCAATAGGCATTGCATTACAGGCAACCAACCTCCAATATTCTTTACTTATGTTTGTATTGTATGTTATTTTGTATTATTTATATTTTAGTCTAAGTTTAAAATACCATAGAAATGTACAGAAATAAATAATGTTTGTGAAAGTGCCGTGATTGTGAACTGATGTTGCGTGTGTACATGTCTTTCTTAAAATAATTTTTCTCTATCAATATGGATATGAATTATTCCAGTGTTTTAGCAGTAAACAGATTACTTTTCAGCAATTTCTCAAAATGCTAAAGTGACAATATCTGTCTGTCTGTCTACAATTACTTATATAAAAATGTTCTCTGCAAATCTTTCTGTTTGGTAAAACAGAGAGTATGATGCTCATTATATATTTCAGAATTTCATAATCCAGTCCATTGAAGTTTAATCAAACATTTTTAAAAAAACAAACTAATAAAATAGTTCCATAAATGAAACGCATGTCATCATGAATTTAGCGTCATGCACCTAATTTGGTAATCGAAACCACACCATCAGTTTGCCACGTGGCATTTCTTCACTGTTTTAGAGGAAGACATTTTGCATTGTTTCTGCACCAATTGTTCTGCAAAAACTCCTCAAGGAAGGGGAAAAAAATTAAACGAGCTTCAACGCAACAAATCTCCTTAGCCACTGTTTTGAAGTTTATTAAATTATTATTATTATTAAATTATCTTAAAGTGAAAAACATTTCATATTTTGTGGCATAAGCCTTACTTGCAATAACTGCATCAAGTCTGCTGCAACCCAGTGGCTTCACAAGACTGTGGCATATTTAGTTTATTGCCGCCTTTTTCAGTTCTGGGGTGGAGGGTTAGGCGTAGAAAAAAAGTAGCGTGTTTCCGGTAACCCGACCGACCGAGAATTTCTACGTCAAAAAAAAGCGGCCGCGAGCTCCGACGACAGTTTAAACCGCGTGTTCTGTGTTACAGTCGCGTGCTCGCACCGTAATGTTAAGAAAATAGCATCCTTTGATGTTTCGAAAAAAATATAGCGAACTATTTGATGAACACCGCGGGCCGAGTAAAAACCGAAGGCGGAGCAGGACGGCGGCGGAGGCGGCGGCGCACCCCGGCCCCCCGAATCTGGAGCGGGGAGAAAACTAAATAGGTGGCGGCGGCGCCGGCCGCGGAGCGGCGGGTTCAATATCTTCTTGTTTTATGTTTTATGGTTATTTTGTTTAAATTTTTGATGGGGGGGAAAAAAGGATTAAAAAAAAAAAAAACTTTGTCAGACGTACCAACCCTATGCTGAAATTTCATGTGACCGGAAACACACAATCTTTTTTGTTTGGCCTTACGGTGATTGAGTTGTCCAGTGTGAGACCGCCCACTTTTTCTCCCTGATGAAGTCCTTTGTTGTGTTGGCAGTGTGTTTTGGATCATTCTCGTATGATGACATTTCTCATGATTAGTTTTTTCTCCTGGAATTCTCAACTTTTGTGTGATATTCATCTTTTGAAATGAAACCCAAATGTTTTCAGTACACAATAAAACAAAGAAATAGACTGCCGTTCCAATACTTTTGCAGTGCACTGTCACTGAGGAGAGCACAGAGAAGTGCATTCTTCGAGAAGTGCATTCTTCAAGATCAACACCCGTTAGTGTTTGTGCTTGTATGGGAATCATTAGCTGGCGAGTGAACATTCAATTAAACTGTCAAGTATACAGACGCTCCCCAGCTTACGAACGAGATACGTTCCGAAGGATCGTTCGTTAGCTGAATTCGTTCGTAAGTTGCTTCAGTGCTATATTTTGTATGGAATGTAAGTTTAAGGCTTATATAAGTATGTTTAAGGTTTATATAAGTATAATAAAATGAAGTTTAACTTACTTTTGGAAGATGTACTCAAAGGCTTAAGGAGATGATGGAGGGGGAGGAGAAGGAAGAGGAGGATTTTATATCATGGGGCCGAGGGGGTCTTCGTCGCCGCTGGAATGGGCTTCAAGAGTTACTTCCTCCTCCGTAACATCAATGAAGGAAGAAGTTGAGGGTCCAGGAGAAGAAGATGAGGATTGACGAGTATCTTCCTTGGAGGGTGTAGTAGACACTGGCCGAAAGAAGCGATCTAACGACGATTGCACAGTTTTCTTCTTTTTCTCATCATAAATGATGCAGTAGCACTGTATGGCATCATTCATTTGATTTGCAACCTTTGTGCAACGTTCAATATTTGGGTCTTGCTGCTCGAAGAGTGTGATGGCTTTATCTATGAGAAAACCCCTCGGCCAAGAGTTCCGTCTCGAACTTCTTCATGGGGACAGGCCTTTCCTCCTCCTCCTCCTCCTCTCACAGCGCCTCACGTCGGTATTAACGGCGGAAAGAAGTACTATAGTACTCGGAAAAAGTCGCGCAATACAAAATCTAACTTACAGCATCTCTGTCCGAGAACATTTTTCGACATACCTGTAACCGCAAAAATGTTCGTATGTACCGTTGTTCGTAACACGAATGTTCGTAAATCGGGGAGTGTCTGTATAGCCAAACTAAGCAGTATATAAACACCTTAAAGGGAGTTTGTGAATTTGGATCCTGGACCGGAAAGACGAACTCTCTCAGGTTAGCATAGCGTAAGGTAGCGGGTACAACAGAACATGTGTAAATTTAAAACTTTACCAAAAGCTAAAAACCATACTCGGTTCTGCCGTTGGCCAGGGTACGGCAAGAGATTCTGGAAGTTAAAGTAAGTTACTTAATAAAAAGAAAAACATTCCTGTAAGATGACGTGCCTCCGGTGTACACATATTTTTTCAAATAAAGTGCTTTGGACAACCTGTGGTGTTGATCAGCAGTAGGTGCCTGACGGCCCACAGCCTCGACCACATGACCCCATGATAACCTCCCCCTTCCATTTTTAAAAATGATCATTATTATTAATATTACCGGTAATTATTATTCTGTAATTTTTTTTGCAAACCCAAACGATTGCCAAAGTTGGCAATTCATTTTTCGAATGGGGCATTCAACTCAATTGTGAATTTAATGTATTTTTAGTGCTTTTTAAAAAGCTGTCATTGTCTAGACCTAGCATATGGCTGTAATTTTGCAATTTGTAGTTTTCAAGTTTTCATTTCCCTGGACACTCTGGACGAGGTGGGCAACTGGGGAATGCTAGCTAAGCTAACAGCTATGATGGACTCACCCCCACTCACCCATTTTTAATATGCTTATATTTTATATTTTGTTTTTATTTATATACTTTTTGTCTTCTACTTTCTCCCTTTCATAATTTTGCTGCTGTAAATTAGGAATTTCTCCATTATGAGACAAATAAAGGTTTTCTTATTTCTTTCTTCTGAATGTGTTCAACAGATGGAAGAAATCAAAGATTCTCCAGACTATAACTGGTTTAGAAGCACAGTTCCCCTGAAAAGAGTAAGTGTACACTGCGTTTCAAATTCGAACATAGATATGATTTATTGATCAAACACCACAGTTTTAATGTTGCTGGCAAGTTTTTTTTTTTTTCAATTGTCTTTCTTCTCTGTTTTAGTGAAATCAATCTCACACGTTTGACAGTTAATTTCCCAACTGTGGTTTCTTAAAATCAAGTTATTTAAGGATGATAATCCACACGATTTAGCAAGTCACAGTTATTTTGTGTAATGGAGGAAAAAGAGTTGAGCTGATAAGTGTTTGAATAGTTCAATGCTGTGCAAAATTGAAAATCATTGTCTCTTGGTTGTCCATCGAGCCAATAATGATGGTTCTTCATGAGTTCTTTTCTCACGTTTTCCCAATCCTCGATTTGCAAACACGACTGCACTGAATATCGGAAAACTGTCCGGGGTATTTATTTATTTTTTTCTGTCTGCGTGCTTTCATCACTTTAACCACCTTTTCGTCTCAAAGTTGTTTTGGCACAGGTAGTGAGGGTGTGCCAGTCTTTTTGGTTTTGAAACAAAAGTTTTGTTTGTTTTTTCCTTTGTCTTGTGCATGGCGTACACCTGGTAACCCTGCCGCTAGTAGGCTAGGCACTGAGACGAGGCCTGAGGCTCCCTCGTTGAGCAATTGTCTCAGAGCAAGCTCCTAATAAGTAATACATTTGGAGTCAGGAGGAGGTGTGTGATATGGATACAAATTTATATCCCGACACAGGCAATATTCTATCTCAACAGTGATATACACCCCAATATAGTCTTTTTTTAGGGATGGGGGGGTATGGGGTACCGAACCCCCTGATACAGGCTATTCGGTCCCTATACCACCAATGTCAGAGTTTGGGTCGCATTGCCAGCAGTAAGTCGGAATCGTTTCCAGTGAGAGTTGGACTCCGCCAAGGCTGCCCTTTGTCGCGATTCTGTTCATAACCTTTACAGTGATGGCAATTTTCCGCGGATACGCGGAAATCCGCCGTTTTATTTCTTAAATTGATCATTTTTGTGAATCGTCTAAATCTGTTGAGAAAATTTTAGGGGGGGTCAGGTACCTTATCGTCGAGTTTTCATGAGCTCTCCCGATCAGTCTCTCCGTTTTCCGTTTGTAAACAGCCCTGCGATTGGACGTGTATGATGTCTTACTTCTTGTGATTGGTCGCTATATCGGCAAATGCAAATCCCAACCAATCCGTGTTCGCCTTTTTCATCTTTTCTAAAAATCTTACTGCATATTGTATTTCATTTTAAAATTCCTAATATATCAATGAATATATAAAGATTGATTGAAAGTCTGAATGTTCAATAATATGCATGAATGAATTCTGTTGCATAGACATTTCTTGAATGGAGTTAAATTTTTTTCAGGCACTGGTTCTTGGAGGTTCTTTTCGACAGCCTGGAGCATGTGTAAAAACAAGAGGGTTGGCTAAAATGAGAGTGGAAAAAGACGGAGAGGACCAATAAGCTTTTAGCGCTTGCTAAAAAATTTAAAATGAAGAGAAAATAAAGTATTCTACCCCATGAAACTGTATATTGTTGTATATACTGTAAATAGACATCCACTTTATATAATAAAATACATTCATAACCCATATATAGTAAACAGTGTGGGACTTCACTATCACTGCATGAGGTAAGAATCAATAGCTTTTTATCACATTTACACAACACTTTATGAATACAAGTCATGAACAAATCTTAAATATTGCAGGGAATGTGTTTCCTTTTTTAGTTTTGATTTTGAGCAGCAAATTTGGACTTACATATTGGTGCTCACCAGGAATGCATAAGCAAAATTGCACAAATTTTCACTTGAAAGAACAGTGGCAATCTTGGGATTTTTTTCTGTTCAAGTTTCAAATAGTGTGTAAATTCAATACACGTCATCTTCAGCATGTTTTGTGCCACTTTTGTAAGTAACCACGCCCCCGTCCAGGCCACGCCCCTTTCCGCTTTTTTTCATCACTCGCCATTGCCATCACTGCCTTTATGGACAGAATTTCTAGGTGCAGCCGAAGCGTTTAGGGGGTCCGTTTTGGTGGCCTCAGTATTACATCTCTGCTTTTTGCAGATGTGGTACTGTTGGCTCCTTCAATCAGGGCTCTCCAACTCTCACTGGAGCGTTTCGCAGCCAGGTGTGAAGCGGTAGGGATGAGGATCAGCGCCTCCAAATCGGAAACAATGGTCCTCAGTCGGAAAAGGGTGGAGTGCCCTCTCCGGGTCGGAGAGGAGATCTTGCCCCAAGTGCAGGAGTTTAAGTATCTTGGGGTCTTGTTCATGAGTGAGGGCAGGAGGGAGCGAGAGATCAACAGGCGGATCGGTGCAGCATCTGCCGTGATGCGGACCTTGTATCGGTCTGTCGTGGTAAAGAAGGAGCTGAGCCAAAGGGCTAAGCTCTCAGTTTACTGGTCGATCTACGTCCCAACCCTCATCTATGGTCACGAGCTATGGGTTGTGACCGAAAGAACGAGATCTTGGATCCAAGCGGCCGAAATGAGTTTTCTCAGGGTGTCCGGCCTCTCCCTGAGAGATAAGGTGAGAAGCTCGGGAGGGGCTCGGAGTAGAGCCGCTCTCCTCCACATCGAGAGGAGCCAGATGAGGTGACTTGGGCATCTGATTAGGATGCCTCCTGGGCGCCTCCCTGGTGAGGTGTTCAGGCATGTCCCACTGGGGTCCTCGGGGTCCACCCAGGACACACCGGAGAGACTATGTCACCCAGCTGGCCTGGGAACGCCTCGGCATCCGCCGGGAAGACCTAGAAGAAGTGGCTAGGGAGAGGGAAATTTGGGTTTCCCCACTAAAGCTGCTGCCCCCGCGACCCGACCCCGGATAAGCGGCAGCAAATGGATGGATATATGGATGTAGTGGGCCGATACTGGCCTTATTTCAAAGCATCGAGTGCTCATGAAGAATGCCCTTCAACCTTTAGGAAGTGAACTGCGTCTATCTCAATCCTTTGAACACATGCACCCGCACGCTTAAAAAAGCACAAAAAAAGGTAAACATGACCCTGTCCCAGCTTTTTTGGAAAGGGTTACAGCAATAAAATTCAGAGTTGATGATTATTTGCTAAAAACAAATTGGCAGTGTGAATGTTAAATATCTTGTATTTGGAGTGTATTCGGTTAAAAACAGGTTGAGCATGATTTGCAAATCATTGTATTCTGTTTTTATTTGTTGAACACCGCATCCTAACTTCAAGTGGAATTGGATCTGTATTTGCCCTACATAAAAAGTAAAGTACAAAAAAATAAACTTAATTTTGTTCAACTTAACTTTTAATCATTTCAGTGATAAACTTTTTTCAGCTAAACTAATTTCAGGTGGGGCGACCCGGTAGTTAAGTGGTTTGCACGTTGACTTCACAGTGCAGAGATACCGGGTTCAATTCCAACTCCGGCCTTCCTGTATGGAGTTTGCATGTTCTCCCCGTGCTTGCGTGGGTTTTCTCCGGGTCCTCAGGTTTCCTCCCACATTCCAAAAACATGCATGGCAGCCTGATGGTACACTCAAAATTGTCCCCAGGTGTGAGTGTGGGCGCGAATGGTTGTTCGTTTCTGTGTGCCCTGCGATTGGCTGGTAACCAATTCAGGGTGTCCCCCGCCTACTGCCCGAAAAAAGCTGGGATAGGCTCCAGCACGCCCCGTGACCCTGGTGAGGATCAAGCGGTTCGGAAAATGAATGAATTAATTAATTCATAATTTCAGGTGAAACAACACCAAATCGCTCCGAAACACAAAACAGGACAAAATATACTCATGGGTAAAACAAAAAGGAAAAACTGCATCCGGATAACTTTTGTATAGTTCAAACTGACATTGAGAAGAGATAAGTGCCTCTGGTTTGAGGATCTGATCGAGTTTCTTCTGTTGAAAATGATCTGCCTTGTTTTGGAGAAGATTTTCTCAGGAGTGCGTTTCATCGCTGCAATGCACAATGTCTCTATCCAGCACAAAGCTGGAACGATTGTATTTGAGACACTGGCACCCTCATTGCTACCATATATTTTTCCCCTTGTTTTTTTTTTGTGGACTCTACTTTCAGCCTTTTTATATTCAATAAATGTTCAATTTGTCCAGGTTTAACTCCGTTGTGCGGTGGTACCACCCAATGACAACTGTGAAACAATGTGCATGCAAAGTATCAAGCAGAGCTAAAGTGATCAGTGGTAGAATACAATACTAGAACAGTTGTTCAGTTGGTGCAGAAAATCATTTAACCAATTTAAAGTGACCAGTAGCAGTATTTGTAGTACAACAAGTGTGCAATTATGCCATTATGTCCTTGAGCCCTTTAAAGTGTCTGGTGCTGTGGAATATAGATCAGTGACAGTGGTTCAAGTGAGTACAGAGCTGGAGCTACAATGATTATTACGGTAATGCTGTTCCACAGGGTTGTGCAAAACTACAAAGAGCCACTTTACAGGTCGATTTGGGTTAGTGTTTAAGTTAATGGCTAGGAGGAAGAAGCTGTTTAAATGTCTGCTGGATTTGGTGCGCATGGGTTGGTAGCGCCTGCCTGAGGGGAGTAGCTGGAAAAGGTGGTGGGCAGGGTGCGGGGGCTCAGTAGGATTTTCCGTGCCCTTGTCTTGGTTCTTGTGGTGTGCAAGTCCTCAAGAGTGGGTGGGGCGGTGCTAATGAATTTTTTCCACCGTCCTAACTGTCCGTTGCAGTCGGATTTTGTCCTGTTTTGTGGCAACCCCAAACCAAACCGCGATGTAAGAACACAGGATTGATTTGATGACTGCTGTGCAGAACTGTCTTCGCACCTCCTGTGGCAGGCCATGCTTCCTCAGCAGCCTCCGAAATTACATCCTCTGCTCGGCCTTTTTCAGGATGGAGTTGGTGTTGACCTCCCACTTCATGTCCTGGGAGACTGTGATTCCCAGGAACTTGAAGGTCTCGACGGTTGACACAGGGCAGTTGGATAGTGTGAGGGGCAGCTGTGGTGAAGGATGTTTCCTGAAGTCCACGATCATCTCTACCATCTTGAGCGTGT